AAATATCATTTTAAATTTTTTTTTCCCCCCCAGTTTGGGTTTAATGGGGAGCGAAAACCTTGCCCAGGCAGAGCGGGATGTCCAGGAAAACCCTGGCGTGGCACAAAAAAGTGGGCGAAAACACCCGAGGAATTTCACCTCGCTTGAAATAACCCTGAATCCCTTCCTATTAATTAAAACCCAGGACAAAAATAACCATTTCCAGCAGCAAATTTGGCCTTTTTTTTTTTAAAAAAAAACTTTTTCTTTTTCCCCCTCACGGCTGTGGGAAGGCTGCTCCACATCGGGGTCCCCGTGTGAACCCGCCAGGATGGAGCCCCATCCCACAGCTCCTGCTGTTTGCTTTGGAGCCTGATTTATTTGCCCTCTGTTATTTATAACCGAGCAGAGATTTTTTTTTTTTAAATTTTTTTTTTTTAATTCTCCCCCCCCTTTCTCGGTGCAGAAGGTGAATTATAAAGCTGCAAAACACTGCCGCCAAAATTATTAAGTGAAAAAAAGGGAAAAAAATGGCTTTTCCCCGCTATATAATTATTTCCAGCCTGGGACAGAGTTAAAATTATATTAAAGGGAAAAAACCCAGCAGAAGAGGCTATTAAAGAGCTAAATAACAGGCTGAAATGTTGTGCTTTGGGGCTATTTTGAAGGACAGAAGAGGATTTATTTACAGGGCTGAATTTCTGCGTAAATCCGCAGTGAGAGGCAGAATTGGGGGGAAAAGGGAGGGTTTGGGGTATGGGAAGTATGAGAGAGGAGGGGGCTGCTGGCGGGGGTAAGCGGGGCTTGGGGGGCTGGGCCTGTTTGTGCTCATGGTCCCAGCGTTGCATCTGGTGGGGGTCCTGGTCCCACAGCCACCTGGGAGTCCTGGTACCGCACCCATGGGTCATCCTTGTCCCACATCCACCCAAGAGTCCTGGTACCGCACCCATAGGTCATCCTGGTCCCACATTGGCTGGGGGTTTGGCTCTGCACCCATGGGTCATCATTGTCCCACATCTGCTGGGGGTTTGGCTCTGCACCCATGGGTGGTCCTGGTCCCACATCTGCTGGGGGTTCTGGCTCTGTACCCATGGGTCATCTTTGTCCCACATGTCGTTGGGGTTCTGGCTCTGCACCCATGGGTCATCTTTGTCCCACATGTGCTTGGGGTTCTGGCTCTGCACCCATGAGTGGTCCTGGTCCCACATCTGCTGGGGTTCTGGCTCTGCACCCATGGGTCATCCTGGTCCCACACGTACCACGGCCCTGTCCTCATCCCAGGGTGGTCCTGTTCTTGTCCCTGGCTGGCCCCATCCCACGTCCCTGGTGGCCCCATCCCCATCCCTACCTCGATGTCGGGGATGTTCTCCACCAGCTGCCGGGCGATGTCCTTGCAGCCGCCCTCCAGTGCGTCGGGGGGCATCTCTCCATCCGAGTACCAGTCACGGTTGGCGGAGTGGGCGTAGGCGGCGCTGGGCGTGGCATGGGTCACCCGCGTGGTGGTGACGATGCCCACTGCCTTGCCTGCACCATGAATTCAGGGGACAATGGTGGGAACACCCCCAAACCCCACCACTTTACCCCCACCCTGGCACCCACCAGCCCCTCACCTCCATCCTTGGCCCAGCGGAGGATGGAGGTCACCTCCTGGCCCTTGGTGGTGTTGCAGCGGTCACGAGTGACACCGGCGCTGACGCCCACCGTCCCCTCGTTGGCTTTGACGCCGCAGAGGTAAGCGGTGGCCGTGCCCGCACTGTCAGGCACCTGTGCGTTGGTGTTGTAGGTCTGGGGGGGGCGTAGATCAATAAACCACATCGTCATCATCATCATCACCAATCACCACCACCATCATTATCCCCACTCCAGGGCTTCATCATCATCGTCCCCATCCTGGAGCTCTCCTCCCCATGTTTGGCTGCAGCAGACCCCATCCTGCCTGTGCACCCCCTCTTTGGCCCCTTGCCCCCCGCTTTTGCCCCTTGGCCCCCCATGACGTCATTGCACATCATCCCCTCGCTGCATTTTGATACTTTTTAAGCCTTTTTTCTACCCGTTTTTAGGCAGGGAGAGAGACAAGCCACCGCCGCGAGCATCCCCTGCAGGGCGGGGGGAGACAGCAGGGAGAGGCGGGGACTTCCAATTTAATAATAAAAAAAAGCGCCTTTTGTTCAGCAAAATGACCACAGGAGAAGCAGGGGGGGTCCCCACGGCTTCCCACGGTTGGGCGGCCTCCTCCCGCCCCCCCTC